GAGCCCGATGTGGGACTCGATCCCAGGACCCTGGGATCATGACCTGAGCCGAAGGCAGACGCTTAACCATCTGAGCCACCCAGGCGCCCGACAATATATTTTTAAATGAAAGTAAGGACATGAAGGGAATATCAATCCCTGACCTCTTCTTATTGAAGCCTTACCCTACACTCCCTAGTCAGAGCTAATTTCTAAAGAATCCAGAGTCAGCCAACAGAAAGGGGAGAATGAATAAGAAGAACCCTCAATCAAAAGGAACAGGAAATGCCCTGGCCTCAGAAATGACATTGTAAGGTGAGTTTGAAGAACTGCTCCAGTGGAACACAAAGCAAGAGAAGTCCTGAGATAATGAGGCAAATGAAGTAAGAAGGAACCATATCCAAAGACGGCTTGAATATCATACTAAGGAATTTGAAATCTTAATGGTAATGGGAACCACTGCAGAATTTTAAAAAGGAGAATGACATAATCAGATTTACATTTCAGATCAGATTTGCTTTACTGTGAAGAGTGAAGTGAAGCTCACACCTGGAGACATGCAGGGCAGCTAGGAGCCAGTTACAAGGATTCAGATGACAGATACTGGTGGCTCAGGTTAGGCTATTCAGGATGGATAGAACTGGATGGACCTGAGAAATACGGAACAGGTACAACTGAAATAACTTTGCAATTGACTGAGTACAAGAGAAAGGGGGGTTGGAGATGGATTTCTGACTTAGGCAAATGTATGATGGTATGGAAATTACTGAGATACAAAAGAGAGAAAAAAAGAGGTAGATTAGTGGGGTTTCTATTTGATTTTTTGTTGTGTTGATTTTGGGGGGGGACAGAATAGCATTTGAAATTGAGTTCTTCTCTTGACAAACTGAGTTTTATGTGTCCAAGGGGCTTCCAAATGGAGATATGTCATAGATAACTGAATATATAGGTCTGAGGCTAGAGAGAAAGATCTGAGCTTAGATACATACTTGGGAGGTAGCGTCTTGTATCAGTTGAAGCCATCAGATAAATAGAGAAGAGAGCCAACATCAGCAGCCTAAGGAAACCCAGAAATTATGGGATGAGCTGGTTAAGGGTAAATTAAGAAAATAAGTAGGAAGAAAACCAGGAAAGCATATGATCACAAAAATCAAGGGAAGAGAATACTATGAGAGAGAACAAGCAGGGGCGCCTGAGTGGCACAGTTGGTTAAGTCTCCGACTCTTGGTTTCAGCTCACGTCGTGATCTCAGGGTTGTGAGATCGAGCCCTGTGTGGGACTCTGTGCTCAGCATGAAGTCTGCTTAAGACCCTCTCTCCCTCTGCCCCCTCCACAAATAAATAAATCTTAAAAAAAAAAAAAGAGGAAACATGCAGTCAATAAAGTCAAATGCAATAGAAAGTATAAACTGGTATAGCTATTTTAGAGAACAATATATCTAAAATGTTTGATCCTCAATTCCACTTCTTGATATTTAATCAAGAAAAATGTTAGTATCATGTCCAATGAGACAAATTAAAGGATGGTTTGTAAAAGTAAAAAAAAAAAAAAAAGGAAATAATGTAAGTATTCAAAAAATAGAGGATTAAATAGAATATGATAGATTGATTCTATTTAATATTTCACAAAAGTTGAAGAGAACAAAGTAAATCTATAAGGAAAAAACTAAGAAAAATTAAGTACAAAAAAAGCAAGTTTCAGAACAATATATACACAGTGATAGCAATTATTTTTAAATGAATTTCTCTATGCACACATAATTGTAAAAATCGCTAGAGAAAAAGTTTGGAAATTTTTTTGATTTGGTAAGTCCACACAAGTCCACTAAACAAGTCCAACAGATAACTCAGTAAAGAAAGCTGGTATTTGGTTGGGTCCATGGCCAAGAGGGTCTTTTGCTTCATTTTTATTATTTGAGCTTTTTACAATGAAAATGTTCCCTTGTAATAGTTATATAATAAAATAGATTTTTAAAATGCTATCAAGAGATCAAGTAAAATTAAAACTGAAAAATATGTGCCAATTTAATAGATCTTTAGTAACCTTAACAAGCATAAATTTGGAAGAATAAAGGGAAAAGAAAATAGATTACAATGAACTGAGACAAAATGGGAGGAAAAACAACAGAATATAAAACACAGAAAGCTTGGTAATGAACAGGAAGAAAAAGAAGTGAAGGGAGGATTTTTCATGAGAGAGAAAGAAAAATGATATTCTCAGAAAGCCTGGTTGCTTAATCACAGTTTTAAAAAAAAAATAGAGGTCACAAAGCTAATAACCCATCATAAAACTTATTGTCTGTTACAAGGTGTAAGGTTAACAATGGCAAGGCCCAGAGTAGCTGGAATAATTAACTAAGAAGCCAGATCGAGAAAATTTAGGTGAGAAAGAAGTCTTATAGCAGGGTCTATGCAACATGCCAAAGCTAATAATCCAAAAGGTAGAAGGGGAAAGGTGGTATAAAATTCTCAAAATATCTTAGGGTTTAGTAGATGAAAGGCTGACACTGGAAGCATATAAATAGTTTAACTGCCAGATGAGTAACGTTTAGAAGAACCCTCTGGTAGGTACTACCTAGAACAGCCATATGAGCTGATTTCATAATCTGGTACAAGAACAAGACTACATATTAGTTGGCTGTACTACTTAGGTAATGGCATGTATTCATTGTTGTGTATCAATCAGAAATTGGAAGTAAACCACGTTGTCAGAAGTGCATAAAAAATGTTAATCATTATCATTCCACATGTAAGAGGTAACAAGTGATAATACATCATTAAGTTATATTTTAAAATATTCCAGAGAATTTTTGTTCTGCATTGAACAACAGGAATTACTTGGGAGTAGAGTATAAGTAGAAATCTCTTTTGAAGCCAGGACAGAATGTCCCAAAATGCCTCTGTTCATAAGAAAACCAAGTATTTCTTGGTGGTCACATGCTTCTGGAGAATTCTTCAAGGGGAGGTAAGTGCTAACAATGAACTACAATTTCCTAGGAGGCTGACCCATCCAAAACAATGTATCCATTACCAAAAACATACATCTTGGTCCAAAGCTACTATTATGGGGGACTGTTCAGGTTCTGGTGAAAGAATAGGGTGCTGAACACTAGGTTTGAGACGGTCCTGATAGGCAAACAACTTTAAACCACAGTAAAATCATATGTATCCTTTAAAAGACAATGCACAGCAATACTACATTTCATTGAGGGGGTGGGGGAGGGGGCAGTGGGGTCTTACAGCATGAGAGCTGAAAGGAAAGAGGTTAAGAATTTTCTGGATACAGCCTTTGGAGGAATAATTATCAACACCTACACAGAAAACCCTCCATTTGGGGAATCCTGTGTCATGATTTGTCATGCCTATTTAAATTACATTAGAAACCAGAATAACTTTTCTATTAATAGCCCTCACCTTAAGAGTTCTACCTGCAGAACAGGCAAATTCCTCCTTTGGCTTATCCTACAGGCTGCCTTCTGAGAATCAGAAGAGAACAACAAACTTCGATCATTTGAACACGGAGCATCAACTAACACCTAGAGAAAAAAAGGATATATAATGCAAACATGCACTGAAAATATAGTCTCAGATGCAAAATACATGGAGAAGCTATGTAAAACATGACAATAAGCAGCTAGTAAGTAAAGACATTTCTTTTAAAACCAAAAATATACTATGGTAAATTCTTCATGACATTTCTTCACTAATACTTTACAGGAAAATTTCCTGTGCACTTTCAGTGTTTGGTTTTTTGGCAGAGAGAGGGAACAGGAGGACTAAAAGTCTACTAATATCTACTCATATTTCATATTCTTGATGACTATAGCAAAAACTTTTACAAAAGTTACTTGTTTTAAACAGACATTCTATATTTCTGGATTCTCAGCATTTATTTTTGAGAACTAATATTTCAATTTTGGTTTGCTGAAATGTTCTTTTTCTTCAACTGTCATACTCTGATATGAAATGTTACTGAATTAAAGCAATTATATAGTGTACATGTTTGTTCATTGACCCAAGTAACATCTGATCTTTTCCTGAGTATCTCTGAAGCACCTGGAAATAAAAAACATTCAATGGGGCGCCTGAGTGGCTCAGTCGTTAAGCGTCTGCCTTCAGCTCAGGTCATGATCCCAGGGTTCTGGGATCGAGCCCCGCATAGGGCTCCCTGCTCCTCGGGAAGCCTGCTTCTCCCTCTCCCACTCCCCCTGCTTGTGTTCCCTCTCTTGCTGTCATTCCCTCTGTCAAATAAATACCTAATATCTTAAAAAAAAAAAATTCAATCATCCCCAATCCCAATGTTACTACCGCTTCCTTTGAACCATGCTGACCATCAAATGAAAACTGCTTCCTTGTTCACTTTATCAAAATTTCCCAGAGTACTGAGAAATTGTATCAGGCTATGTCTGGAAGCAGATGGAAGACAACAACAAAGCAACATAACAGTGGTATCACTGGGAGCCCATCAGTTTGTCACAATGTAATAACTATACCTTGTCAAACATTTCAGGCTGGGCATCTCCCATTTCTCTGCCATCCAATTCAGACACTTTAATTACGTTTACCAAAGGCTGTGGGATGAAAGATTCTAATGTCTGCCTCAGCCACCTCAATCTCAGACTATCGTGTTCATTACAGTGAAGATAACCTAAACATAAAGGATTAAAAAGTTTTAAAATGAATGCAATGGAATTGTTACATTTCCACTTTTGATCAAATAAATTTCAGAAAGAAATCAATTCATCATAATTATGCAGAAATAGGGCACAGAGGTAAATATAATGATCTTAGGTTTTAAAAACAGCAATACACACACACACACACAAAACATTCACAACAGTCTTGCCTACATAGCCTGTCAGAAGCTCTGACCATTTATTCATTCAAATTTAATTATGGATTCCTAAAGATACGCTATACAACCAATACCTCATGGTATTAGTAAGACATCGCTCAAAGTATGAACTGTCATAATTCCCATAACTGGGAAGTTACTTAGCTCTCAAGAGTCTGTTTCCCAAATTGAGGGTTGCTGGGGGGTGGGGGGGGATGGGGTAACAAGGTAGTAACAAGGAGGGCACGTGATATAATGAATACTGGGTGTTATATACAACTAATCAATCACTGAACTCCACCTCTGAAACTAATAATACACTATATGTTAATAAAATACACTATATGTTAATAAAAAATGTTCGTGACTTCATAAAAAAAAAGTCTCCGTTTCCTTATGTGTAAAATGGGGATTGTACCTAGTAAAAGGATTCAGAACATGCCTCTCCAAAATATGCCACTTTGGCATGTTGACATTATTTTGAGTAAAAGGCACTTGAATAATAGCAGATGCAGGAAGGGCATTTTTACCTTCCTTTTTTTTCCTAAAAGGAGATGAAATCCCGTATGAAAAATACTCTCCCTACACCAGAAGGAAAGAAATATTCTTATCACCAGAGATGGGGAGTCAGGGCCAAGAGAAATCTGTACAAAGAGACCTTATTAAAAATTCTTCCTGGGGCGCCTGGGTGGCTCAGTCAGTTAAGCGGCTGCCATCGGCTCAGGTCATGATCCCAGAGTCCGGGGATGGAGCCCCGCGTGGGGGGGGTCCCTGCTCAGCAGGGAACCTGCTTCTCTCCCTCTGCTCCTCACCTTGCTCACTCTGTTTTACTTTCTCAAATAAATAAATAAATAAATAAAATCTTTAAAAAAAAATTCTCCCTGTCTTCTCCCCCACATATTTTAGTTATTTTCCACAACTGGCACTCTATGTTCAACCTAGTATACAAGCACTTAACGATTGGCCACTCTTGTGGATCTTCCACATTCACATTGGGCAGGTGTAGGAGTTGTCCTGGCTTAAAAGCTTCATGTCCCACAGAAGACAACATCTCTTCTAACAACTTCATAGGCACAGCTTTCAGGATCCCCATGAGGGATGCCCAAGTTACAAGAGGACTGCCCAGTAACAAGAATCAATGCACTCAGGAAGACCCAATCAGGGCATCCCTATTGGGTCTCTGGGGCTTATTTCATCTTTCTCCCAGTGCACATGCATTTTTACCCATCAGAGTCTTTTTTATCATGAGTAATGTTGCCTGGAAACGTAGTGACAATCTGTCAGGTTACCAGGGAAACAAAGCTAGAGAACTACATGAAGGTGAAATTGTAATGTAGAGGGGGAAATATTTTTGTAAACCCTTTGCTCAAATATATATGTATAAATATATATACATCTACATATCTCTCTCTATATATATATATCTATACATATGTTGTTTTCTCTGATTGTCAATCCATGATTAAAAACATTTAATGATTTCCTATCATACAGTAAAGTTCAAACTATTGATTTCAAGGTCTGTGATAATGAGACCTCAAGACAACCTTTCAATTTTAACCTCCCACTGTTTTACCAACATACTCTGTGCTCCACCAAATCTGACGGACTTGTCCACTTCTCATACATACTCTGAACCACTTCTATAGTACTTAACCATATTTTACCACAAGAGAGATGTTCATGTGCATTGCTTACCCTTTCTACTACCAGCGCACCACAATTTCTATATGGAAGGCACTTAGGAGATGGCATCAATTTTGTTAGGGGGTTAAAGGAATAAGAAATCACTTTAAAGCTACATTTACACAGGTAGTATACTCTTTTTTAATTTAGTTTATGTGTTTACTTCAGGGGCTTTTAGAGGATTTGCTAATGCAGCTTACGGACAGTTGTCTAAAAACCTGAAATCACTAGAAAATGACCTAAGGCAAAAGTTAATGTTATGGAGGAGATGCAACCACAGGGAAACTAGAGTGAAAGAAAAAAGGAAGTAAATCATACAAAGATGGAGCACAAATACAAAAGGGTCTGTAATCAAGGTGGCTACAGCACTGGTCAGTCTCTCAGGATATGTCCACAGTCTGAAATTGCTAAGCCTTGGAACTATGGGCTTTAGTGGAGTAAGGAGGAAGAACAAGTAATCTGCTGTCATCTTCCTGTCTCCTGCCTCTCATTGGTTAAAGTCCATTCCAAGAGTTGATAACTTCCACACAGTTCAGGTTTGTGCTATCTGGCCCCTACAGGCAAGCCAGAGTCCCAAGGCCAGTAACAGCAACCATTCAAGTGTGGTGATTTTTGCTTGTAAGCTGGAAGCTATCTGGAGGCTCCTCAATTTGTGGCAGTAGTAACATCAGCAGCAGATAACTGCAGGAACAGCATGAATCTTTTCTAGGGTTTCTCCAATCTGGAAACAATTCAAGGGTCTCAAGCCTTTAAGGAATGGGAGTAAAGGTGAAGCCAAAGACGTATGTGGTGGAGCATAAACTGGGGCCAAGAAAGCTCCCCAAAGTCACATCTTGTCCCCATCAGACACTAAGAGACTCGAAGGAAAGACCCGTGTCTTAATTATTTTTCATTCCACTTCTCCCTTTTTCTGGTTTAAATATTTTATATTCCATTTCTATTATTTTTAACATGCATATGTAAACTTAAAATTTTTAACATGCATATGTAAAAAAAATATAAGGTTAGTCAACCTTACCATTTTCCCTAAAAGATACAAGAATCTTTTAATTCTCCCTCCCAAACTAGATGCTGTTACTGTATATTTGGGCTTACATTTTTTAACTGCACAAAACATTATCATCATTGTCTTCTATAGTCAATGACTTTTAGATTTACTTTTTTTTTTTTTTTTTTTAAGATTTTATTTATTTATTTGAGAGAGAGAGAACACATGAGAGGGGATAGGGTCAGAGGACGAAGCAGACTCCCTGCCGAGCAGGGAGCCCGATGCGGGACTCGATCCCGGGACTCCAGGATCATGACCTGAGCCGAAGGCAGTCGCTTAACCAACTGAGCCACCCAGGCGCCCTATTTCCCATCTTCTTTGTTCTTCATTTCTTCTTGTTATCTTTTATCATCCATCTACAATGGCTTTCCTTTTTCCTGAAACACATCTTTCAGAATCATTGGTGACAAACTTATATTCTCTCTTTTTGTCTAAAAAAAAACACGTCCATTTCACTTTCATTCTTCAGGGATATCTTGGTGAATATACTTCTGGATTTATAGTCATCTTTTCTTAGGACACTGAAAACATCATTCCTCTGAATGCTAGTTTCCATTGTTACCCTCAAAGGTCAATCCTCATTCTATTGTCTTTTGGAGGTAAACTATCTGTCCTCTCTGGCTGCTATTAAGATCTTCTCTTTATTTTCAATGTTCTGCAACTTCACTATAATGGTCTACACTGGCTTAGCTGTGCTCACACAATTTCAGAGGGTATTTCCATTCCTCCCCCATCATCAAAGTTGAAAATAGACAGTTTTCCTTTCAGTTCCTTGGGATTGGACAATTTCTTCTTAGTTTACCTTACATGGAGGGTATACCATTTTGGAATCTCAGCTTTCTGTAAGTTAACCTCCTAGTAGATTATCTCTTGGGCAAGCTCTGGCTTTGTCTTTTATTCCCACATTTTCATGAAGCAATGAAAATCAACATGCAAGTTTTTCAGGTTAAGCAAATGCTCACAAGTGAAAAGCTAGCTTTGATGTTCAACTGATCTTCTAGGTTCCCATTATCTCTTAGATTTTGGTCACTGAATATTTGGAGATCACCAAGGCATTTAAAGATTCTGTTTTTAATATTATATCCTACATTTTTTTTGTTTTCAGCAGGAGGGTTGGTTAGTAGACCTACTTTGTCATTCTACAAGGAACCAAAATCTTAGTTATTTCTGCATCTTTCACAGTTCCACACCTACCATCCAAAGCCTTGCACACGTAGTACATGCTCACTAATGTGGCTGAGTTGATTTGAAACATGGCATTATAATAAAGAATATTTAAACTGTTAAAACTGAAAATCAGGTCAGCTTTTCATTAAATTACAGCTTTAGTCAAGATTCTTAATTCAGCATTTTAAAATAACTTCATTAAAATACAGCTTTATGTTATATTGTTGTTTGGCCTAGATGTAGATTTTATTTGAAATTGTCTTAGACTGGTTAAATTTTTTAAAATATGTAATATAAGAGATGACAACCCAAGTTTCATATATATACTAAGAATTATTACATTGAAAAAGAATTAACTTCATGTTTAAATCGTCAAAAATAAACCAAATCTTGGTATTTCTTCATCTAAGCAGGAAAGGGAGCGAATTTAAAAAATATATGAAAAAGTCATTGAGGCTTTACATCTGTGTAAGGCAGCCTTTGGTCCATGGAAAGAAATTGGGCTACTAGTTTCATTCATTTATTTATTTTGGTGCAACTAACTTGGAAAAAACTCAATTCTGCCTATTTTCAGTTCTGTTAATTACTCCTTGGAGTAATTATCTAAGGAACACAGTGTGACTATCACTGATGCCATAATTATGATTATCTGAGGGATTATATGCCCCCTCAATGTAAAAATTGGAATAATGATATTGTCCATATATTAGAAGTGATATGAAGGCACAATTATAACACAACTCCTACCATTTCCATCATCTTATCTAAAATAAACAACAGCATCTCCATTTATAAAAACCATCAAATAAACAAAAACTAGACAGAACTGATGCTGAACCCTGTCCTACCAAGCTATAAGTAATATTTACCCACAGAAATCTGAAATAATTTTTTAAAAAGTCTTATTATCTAATTAGGAAAATAATTTATGATGTTGGTTGACTCATTACTTTTAACAAATATTTATAAAAATGTACATTTACATAAATTTCATCATTTTTATACTAATAATGGTAATGATAAGTTACTTCCAAAAAACTTTTTAAAAAGTCTTTTAGAATTGCATTATCTAGGGGCGCCTGGGTGGCTCAGTTGGTTAAGCATCTGCCTTCGGCTCAGGTCATGATCCCAGGATCCTGGAATCAAGCCCCACGCTGGGCTCCCTGCTCAGTGGAGAGCCTGTTTCTCCCTTTGCCTGCTGCTCCCCCTGCTTGTGCTCTCTCTCTCTTTCTCTGTCAACTACATAAAATTAAAAAAAAAAAAAAAAAAAAAATTGCATTGTCTAATATCATACCCATTTGCCACATGTGGCTATGAGCACTTAAAAGGTAGCTAGTCCAAACTGAAATGTGCTGTACAATACATGCCCATTTTGAAGACTTTGTAAGAAAATAAGAATGCAAAATATCTCTTTAATAACTTTTGATTACATGTTGAAATAATATTTTGGATATACTGGGTTACAATGTATTACTAAAATTAATCTCAACTGTTTCTGCTTTTTTTAATGAGTACTTAAAAATTTAAAATTTTATATGCACTTCACATTATATATCTATTGGACAGAACTGCCTTATAACTTATGGTCTAATGATAAAAAAAATGACTTTAAATGTGTGTATTTTGTTGCCCAGAAGTATAATGAGATGTCAATATAAGACTCTCAAGTATAAAAGTCAATGATAAAATAAAAAATCTTTGTTATTGGCTTATCAGGATTCATATTACCTGACAGATTTAGGTTTACAAAATGTGGTAGTTTTGTTCAAAATTATCTGCTAGTATGTAGCTGGAAAAAAAAAAAATTACACTGATTTCTTAGCTAAAACTTCCATTCGACATACTGTCCTGGTTTTTCAGATTTTCAAAGTCCGCAAACTCAATCTTACACTTCTTCTCATACACTTTAAAAGTATTTTGTAATATATGGATATTTAAAAGCTGTCAATTACTGAAAGAAAAGCACACTACCTGGATAAGCACACTGCAGCAGAGCTATCGATTTGCCTCCAGGAGCAGAACACAGATCCAGAACCTTCTCCCCATCCCTTAATTCCAGAGCCAATACTGGGAGAAGAGAGGCAGCATTCAGGAGATAGTATTTTTTTAGAATTCCAATTTGGTGTCTTTCTGAAGGCATTCTATCTGGAGTTCTGCTAAGGTAACACTTCATTGATTTAGGATAGTAGGGTAAAGATCCTTGAAAGAGTGTGTGATAGCCCTTTAAATGTAAATCTTTTTCCAGTTCAAAGGAGTAATTGAATCTGTTAAGAAGGATAGCATATTGCCAGCATGATGGAGATATTAGTATATCCCTAGAAATAGAAAAAGAAAAACAAAAGAATATTAATATTATATATACAAACACAATTTTCTATTACTAATCAAGTGAATGGGGTCCTAGTTTCACACTTACCTGTGATTTTTTTCAGAGTCAGGATTAGTATCACTGACTTTGCCCTTTTGCCATAGGCTCCAATATGGCTCAACCTACCACTGTTACGACCCTGCCTTTATTTAAAACTTTAGTATTTTATTCATCATGGGTTTTCTTTCTTTTGTATGAATTGTGCCCATTAAAGTATTATTTGATTTTTGAGTTTTAGGGGCCCCTTAAATTCTGCACCAGAGAGGAATGCCTCACCTGCCATTCAGCCTAGTCCCTTCCTGCAGAACAGCTTGCCAAAAACACATGGCCTGTCTTTATATACCTCTGAATACATCAAAAGAGATGTCAGCCTATCACTTTGCACAAGTGTTTTTCAAAAGACAAAATTTAAAACCTGAGACTATTAATATTGGAGGGAAAAGTACTATCATTAAAGGGTATTTAAAGGAGTGAGTGTTAAAGTCTTCCTCTCATGAAATAAAAGTATGGAAAACTATAGTGAACCCTACAGTAACAGAGTTAATGAGGCGATCAGTGGTTCAGATGATACAAAACCAAGGATGGTTTAAAAATCACTTATGGATTGACAGCACCACCCACCCCCCACCCTCCCGCCTTCACCAGAAGATTCTCTTTCCTAATTTTTTATTCGGTCCAACAGTTAGATCTCTTAACAGTCAGAAGCTCACATCAACTGACAGATGATATAGCAGGAAATATTTAATTTATTTACAAGCTCACCTTTCTAGCTGAGTTATTTGGGAGCCTCATTAACCATGGTCAATTAAATAAATCCCAGCTGCTACTCACCCTGGAGTTGCCTAGGTGAGAAATGGCTGGATTGAAATGTAACACCTGCGACTGGAACTGTGCCAGGTGAATTTCAATTGGGGGCTAATATGTGAAACTGCTTTCTCCTTCACTGCCTCTTACTATGATGGTCCACCATCAGAGGAGCCCAGTGTGTCTGTTTCAGGAATTTTGGAGGATGACAACCTCTTTTTTTAAGAATGTACTCTGCAAACTTTAGCAGGCATCAAGTGTCTGTAAAAGACTGCTAAGCCCTACCTCAGGATTTTCTGATACAGTAGGTCAGAAGCACGGCCTGAGCACTAGCATTTCTAGCAAGTTCTCCAGTGATAATGATGCTGCTAATCCTCAGGACCACACTTTGGGAACCACTGCATTAAAACAGACCCAAAGGGGAGATCTGCAAATGTCACTGCTATAACTTTTATTTCAGTCTATCCTAATCTTACCCTTCCAAACTGGATGAAAATCTACCCAGGGTTTTGACTCATTTAACAGAGAAATAATAGTCAGAAACATAATTTAATTAATACAGATTGGAGTGGCTTGTTTCTTTAGCTAACAAAGGTAGGACGCTTTCAATTGGTTAATATCTGACAGAGCAAATCTCTTTTCTTTTTTTTTCCTTCAGAATTTCCAAAGCTATTTTAGAATGTTTATTCTTTCAGATGAACTTTAGAATCAGTTGGGTCAGTTAAAAAATAATTTATAAAATATTTGTGTAGATAGCAGAAACCTTGACTAGAATTATATTAAATGCAGTAAATCTGGGGAGAATTAACATCCTTATTGTATTTAGTCTTTCCAACCCTGACTACATTGTTTCTCCATTTAGTCACATTTTCTTTCAGATCCCTTAGTAAAGGTTATTAATCTTGCATATTTCCTTTTAACCTTATTGTATGTTAGTTTAGGAACAGTATTTTTGTGTATTATACAATATGTTAAATCTTGAAGGATGAGGAGGAATACCATAGGACAAAATGAGAGGGGAAATTCAAGGACAAAGGCAATAGCCCAGGCACAAACGTATGAAGAAAGACAGTGCATTTGGGTAATTAAAAGTAGTCTGGTGCGGGGGCGCCTGGGTGGCTCAGTTGGTTAAGCAACTGCCTTCAGCTCAGGTCATGATCCTGGAGTCCTGGGATCGAGTCCCGCATCGGGCTCCCTG